CAAGCACTGCGCCACCAGGGAAGCCCTAATTTTTAATTATTAATAGCCATTAGTTAGACGTGTCATTCAAACAGTAGACACGGACCATTTAATTCCAACTAGGATCTGTTGCCATATACAAAATAGCCCATGCTGTGCTAATTTCCCAACATCAGGCAACCAATGCAATTATACTTCTGAGGGCACCAGGTCAGTTACAGAATAGGATTCTCTTAGACTCACTCCATGACAAATGATGCGATTTCACATCTGTAATTTACCAGAATCAGTTTAGATTGCTGGGTAAAACAAACTGTTTAATAAACACTAGGCTTTCTTGGACTCAGAGTCTGAATTTAAATTCCTAATCTAATTTAAACACTATAAATAAGTAGCATTTATACAAATTTGCTTTTAAGTCCAGACACTAATTCTGATGTGGACTAAAATCGCAGTAAGCTTAGTTCATTCTGATTTTTAAAATTCATATGGAATTTTACCAACAGACTAATTTTAGACAAACTAAGATTCTGTTTCCATACGCGCCAAAACCAACAATGACAACCCCCTCCCCACCAAAACCCCAAACAAAACAACCCTTTTTCGTTTAACTGCATTCTGTTAAATGTTTTAAGCCCTTGAAGGGAACTTTGAGTTAATCAGTTGCCCCCCCCCCCAATTTCACAGATGAGGGAAGTGAGGCACAGGGAGGTCAGTGACTTGTCTGAGGTACTCAGAGAGAAAGGCAGAGCCCCGCCCATCACAGCTGGTCCCACGTTGCAGGAGGAGGCATTCCCCAAAAGAAGGCAGAGGCCAGTCCTACAGCACTTTTCTTTCTTAGCCTGCCTTACAGGATCACACTTTGGGGCTTGTACCCTTCACAAACATTCATTACAGAACAGAGAACTGCATTCTGAGAAGTAACTGTGTAGCTAAAAATGTATCAATGTGCACATTGAAAAGGAAAATGCAGCATGATCAGGGTCCTCATGCAAACTAGAACTCTCTTCAACCCAAACTGCTTTTTAGTCATTGGACAGCACACATCTCTTATGTAGCTTATTGTAAACCTTAGGTAAATCGTGAAGTTTATGCTCTAATTTGACTTACCAAAAATATTTTCCCCTGTGGCATTTAAAAGCATACATTCTTAGAGAACAGAAAAAAGAATTTTCCAGGCATACTTTTCTTCTACAAACATTATCGTGTTTTCTGTTTTTTTCTAATAGGAATAGTTGAAAGTTCCTGTGATAAGTGCCTTGGCATTCCAAGTTCTTGTCTTCTCAGTATCAGATAAAGCTGTGCTATTTTCCTGAAAGAGAAGCCAGGCATGTTTTCTCTTACAGGTATTAACTTTACAAGAGATTTATAATAGCACTTAACTTTCGAGGTAAAGATCTATCCTTTAACTTGTACCTTTAATTTAGGAAAGTAGACTCTAACACTGACCATTATCATATATACCCTATATTAAATATTTGTAATTTTTTAATCACTTGTATCACGGTAACAAATAACAAATACTTTTAGAAAATTAATGACTTTGATATCCAACATCTAAATTGAATCAGGCTTCTACCAGAAAGCAACCTCTTGAATTATACATAGAAATGAGAGCAGGGAGATATTGCTGCTATTAAGCAGCCTATTGCTCAAGCAGAAAGTGATTTTGCTTACATCATATAGCAAAAGTCCTGTTAGGCAATGTTATAACTCCAAATAATGCCAAATATTACAAATGCTTAACATTTTCAAAGAGTTGTATAGGTTAACATGTCCACAGGATAAATATGTTTATTGTAATTCAGCTTTTTTGGTGTGTGTGCAACACTTTATCACTAATTTCAGTGAGCAGAGGATTCTCAGAATGAGGTACACATCTGATTGCACATATAAGTAAATACTCAAGCATCTGCCAAGTGGGTGGAGTGAAAACAAAAAAATTTTGCTTGTCCCAATTGATCTCTATGGATTACACAACTTCCATGCTTGATCTTAGCCAAAAGGCAGAGAAGCAATGGATTACACAACTTCTGATGGGTTGTTTCTTTAATAGATTCTGATGAATCATGACCCAAAACTTGTTGATAAGGACAAAGAATCACAGTTTTAGAGACAACAGAATATATTTAGGGATATTTTCCAACACTGGGTCACAATATGCCCCAGCCTCTTTTTTTTTTTTTTTTAAGATTTAATTTTATTTATTTTTGGCTGCATTGGGTCTTCCTTGTGGTGCGCGGGCTTCTCATTGTGGTGGCTACTCTTGTTGCGGAGCACGGGCTCTAGGTGCGAGGGCTTCAGTAGTTGTGGTCCACAGGCTCTAGAGCACAGGCTCACTAGTTGTGGCGCATGGGCTTAGTTGCTCCACAGCACATGGGATCTTCCTGCACCAGGGATCGAACACGTGTCCCCTGCAATGGCAGGTGGATTCTTATCCACTGAGCCACGAGGTAAGTCCCCCCAGCCTCCCCTTACCTGAAAGAAATGAGACTTTGGGGAAGGTGACAGAGATTCTGTGTTGTGTTGCATGTGGGATGAGGAAGAGGGGAATTAGAAAACTTTCTGTCATTTTTGAAGGTACCCTGGGAAGGCAGGTGTAAAAAGAATTTGACATGGCCCAATTCAGTCACCCAGATCGGATGAAGCAGGAGGAGTTCCTTTTATTAGTTATTGTTATAGAACTCTTAATCGGCTTAAGACTTCTGGGTCTTTTAAAACCATTATCACAGAAACACACAAACAGATCCTCTGCTTTCACTATCTACAGTACTGGAATCTGTGTGCTCAGGAGGAGTGGGAGTGGGAGTGGGTGATCAAGGCTGGGAGGGTGGCCCGTCGGACTGGGTGCCCAGACAGCACTACTGCTGCTATTTGCTTCTGACCCTTGACCCTCCAAACTGCCCTTGTGAAAACTTGCCAATTCCCTCCTCCTAGTCCTCGTTCTCACTTCTGGGGTGAAAAAGAGAGAGAAAAAAAAAAATCCGTGTCACTTTTCAGCCAAACCAATCTCTGGGTTTTATTCCAAACTACCTTCAGAGTTAAACGCCTCTGTTTTCTCAGCCTTACTTCCCCAACAAGGCTCTCTCTGATCCACAGGTGGGAGCTGGTGGCAGTGCTCAGGCAAATTCCAGCCTGGGACCTAAGGTGTTTTCCACATTTCCTTATTTACTGCCACAAAGAGGCTAGGGCCACCTAACTTCTGTCATCTACATCTGTGGTTCCAGTAGTTTATGCTATGATCTCCTGCCTTAAGAAGATAGATTTTAAAAATAGGTGGAGATGTATGTTTAGCAATCTAAGTATATAAGTAAAGACACTGTGTATGACTCATTGGCACCCGTATGAATTCGTGGCCAAATGTCCTTTATTAAAAAAAACAGCTTTGACAGTACACAATGTGGCTACAGGATTTTTCTAACAAATGATTTTTTTTTTTTTAATCTCCTTAAATTTGAAGTTAAAGCTGTTATCGTTCTAACCCAGTCTCAGGGCTAATTGGCTCAAGACCTCTGTGCCCAGTGATGCCTCACTTGACCCTCTCAGGGGTCAGTGTCCAGGTCAGGGAGCTGTGCAGCTCCCTCCAAAGCCAGCTCTCCTACTGGCCAGCACGCAGATTCCAAGGGATAGATAGGATTAAGGGCTCCAAAGAGGATTCCCCAGCCCTCCCCCAAAGGAGGATAAAAACTCTAGTTCTGGAACAAAAATAAGCCCCAGCTAAGGAGAAAGTGCCTGTTTAGATAGCCGGTGGCCCTTCCCAAAGTTTGCATCCCTTCCAGACTGACTGGGCAGAGCCCTTTTCAATAGGCAAGGGTGTGCAGAAGTGTGTAATCGTGTGCTAAAAGAAAGCACGTTGCATGAACTTCTATTTGCACACTCTCCTAAGCTTAGGCCCCAAAGGATTAAGGTAATAAAACTGCTTACCTTCTTATTACAATTTGTTTTCTCGTCCAGAAAACAACCCCCCGCCCCCCCCCCCACCAGTCCCCCCCATCAGGAAGCTTGCACAAGTTTCTTAGATAGCCTCATCCACCAGAGGGCAGACAGCAGAAGCAAGAAGAACTACAATCCTGCAGCCTGTGGAAGGAAAACCACATTCACAGAAAGATAGACAAAATGAAAAGG